TTGAGATCCATTTTGAGGCTTAATTCTGGCTTTGCCTCTTACCACTCCATTAAGACATAGGCCAAATCACTTACATTCTTAAGCTTCAGCTACCTTATTTATAATCTGTATATTTCACACTGTGAAATAAAAATTTGGCACACTGTGAGGAACGAAGTTCACAGTCTTCCTTTAGCTAAGGAGCACACAGTCCCACAATACCAGCTACTACTTCAAACCAAGGTCATTCTGAGTGTCACTGTCAAAGAAGGGTTTAAATGCAAACCTTCCATCTGCAAAGCCCAGGCCCTTTCCCCCTTTTCTCTGTGATTTTTAAATATGTTCCAAAGAGCTCCAAAGAGTTCTGTAAATGTGCCACAGGTATACTCGGGGTGGCAAGGAGGATGTGGAGAAGACAAAGCTCCTGACTACCTGAGAATTTTAATCAAAGCTACTTCAGTTGGATTTGTTTTACAGTTTAAAGTTTTGTGAAGACTATGTCAACAGAAGGTAGGAATAAGTTGAAGGAAGGAGTAATGTGTGTGTGTGTTTATTTAGTATTTACCTATTCCCATCCCCACCCCCTAGGAGGCTGTAGGCTTCTGCTAGGAGCGTGGCCCCGCAGCCTAACACGTCCCTGGCAGATGGCTGGCACACAAGAAATATCTGTAGACTCAGTGAAAATAGGAATGGTTAGTGAAGAGGATGATGGAGTAATCCAAGCACATGGTGATGAAGCATACATTACCCTAGTTTCAAAGAGACTGGTGAGAAGGGGAAGATACAAAAATACCTTGAATGAACAAACACAACTTGATGACTGCTTAGGCATAGAGAATGAAGGAGAAGGAAGAAAAAAAAAAAGAGGATTTCAGTTTGAATTTTACAAAGCAACCACTAGGGAAGGTAATGAAGTTGAGGGACAACAAGGAAGGACGGTTTGGACAGGAAAGCAGAATCTGGCTCCTTATGCATTGGGTTTGAAATAATGATAGAACAACCAGAGAAAATATCTGGCAGGAGATATGGGACAATATGCAGGTAAGAGGACAAGGCTAGATATATAGATTTATACATAAAAAATTAGACAAATTTAACCCAAGGCATGGAGCCAGGGACCAGACCTCTCTCCCACATCCAGGCACACCGCCAGTGCCTTGTGGCCCCGCCTGGGGGCCCGCCCGGGGACCCTAGTCATGGAGAAGTGGACCAGAACCCCCTCCCACAACCAGGCATATTGCGCCAGCACCTCTAGGCCCACCCAGTGACACAAGGCATGGAGCAAGGGACCAGACCCCCCCTCCTCCCGCAACCAAGCACACCGCCAGTGCCTCATGGCCCCACCTGGGGGCCCAGGATATGGAGCCAGGGACCACACCCCTTCCCACAACCGGGCATATCGAGCCAGCACCTCAGGGCCCACCCAGGGACCCAAGGTATGGAGAAGGGGAACTGACTCCCCTCCCACAACCAGGCACACCATGCTAGTGCCTCAGGGCCCACCTGGTGACCTGAGGCATGGAGCCAGGGAGTGGACTCCCCTCCCACACCCAGGCATACTGCGTCAGCACCTCGGTCCCTCCCTACCCAGGAACCCAAAGCATGGAGCCGGGACCAGACACACCCCACAACCAGGCACACCGCCAGCACCAAGGAGCACGCCAAAAACATCACCTCCATGTGGGTGGCCCACCACAGCCACCACAATAACCATGGCTGCAGTGAAAGCGCCTAGATGCCACAACCACCACACAGATGGTCCGCCAACCACTGGAGTGCATTGGTACAAGAAGAGTCACCAGCAGAGATAAAGAAAAGAAGAGGATGTCTCTTTCCACAAAGCCCGTTTCAGAGTCACAGAAGAAGCATCTGCTCTATGATAATATTGGGGGACCTGATCACACCTCCCAGCATTGGACCGATCATCTAGGCAACAAATCAACAGAGTAACCATCATTCTTTCAGGAGAAAATAAATCTAGGGTAATTAGAGGGGGGAGAGGTGAGGGAGAGGGGGATAAGGAGGGATTGGACAAGGGGCATAAAGAATAATTATGATTTGTAACAATATATATGCTAGTA